GATCAAGGGCGTTTAGGGAAGGCGTTTGGATAGCACTCAAGGTAGCGCTATGTGTGTGTTTTGTCGGTATTAGGTTCTGTGCGCAGGCGAAGCGAGATGCATATCAGTCTCGGCGAGTGGGAGCAAGACAGGTGTCGTGCCCAGCAGACGTGTATTACTATGATTGAGTCGGAAGCGGAGCGAGCAATGCAGACAACGTACCATCCAATGAGTGTTATCGTGACAGCTCTTGATCATCCGTGCCTTGTACAGAAATGAGTAGCTTTGCTTCAGGAACGCATGTTGGCGTACACGGATGCACAGCTCTTGAACTTGGCGCTTGGTTGATAGGCGAAGAGATTCTCGCCACTGCATAGCATAGTCTGAGAAGAAAATTGTTGTAGCCATGATACCAACAGTTGTAATGCTTGCGCGGGTCACCAGGGGTTGACCGAGGGCCGCTAAGGTGACGTCGAACCTTCCTTATTTGAACAGGACAGGTCTTTATTCCACTTGAAGAAGGTGCGACCCTGACTCTGCTTCGATGGCCGTGCAAAGGGCAGCGAGGTTGCTTGTTCAAATTCACACACAGATGTTTTCGCAGTACCAATGGCTGAGAGTTAATTTTTTTTTTCTGGCCATCCGAGCGCGCCCATACAAAGCGTACTTTTTTTTTGGTGACCACACCCTCCAGTATGCACCCCACAGCCGGTTCAGGCAGCGATGCGAGGTTAGCGCTGCAAGACAGACTGACATGCATGGGGAAGATGGCGGGCGAGATAAGGATAAGCCATCTCACAGGCCGAGCTAGGCAGCCAACCGGTGAGCCGCGGACTAGCACCCGCTACGGACCGTGTGGTCATGTTGCCATGACCAGTGTGACTGCAACATGTAATCATGACTGCTTTTGCGGGATATTTTTGCTCCCTCTCAAGTGGCATGTTGAGTTGCCGGGCAGCCCAACCCAATGTGACGGTTGAAGCCATGCGAGATGAGATGAGATGAGATGAGACGGACATTAGTGGACTCTGCGACGGGGGCCTTCCAGAAGCAAATGCGGCGTGGGGCGACCAAATCGCAGACAAGGCTGAAGGAACCGCGGAGGTGGCGGCCTGCCCAATCAGGGCCCCGCTGTAACAGATCATCATATCAGGGAGTGTGACGGTGCGAAAAGAGCCCGCGTGCTTTATGCTTGCTGAACGGTGTCGCGCAGCGGGACCGACCGGGGCCTGTTCAAGGCATGCCACCGAGGACACGCAGCTGTGGCCAAGGCAGCTCAGCCGCGATAAACTCTGTGCTGTGCGTGTGAGTGTCTCAGCAATGGGCGGTGCCTGACCCAGCTCGCGCGCCGGGGCACTCTCTGCCCACGCGACTTTGTCCTCTGCTACTTATCGGCCGTCTGATAACCCTGAAGTCTCCCCAGCTCGCTCTTATCGCCGACTTGCCATCTGCTCTCTGCACGCCCTCTATCCTCTATCCTCTGCCCTCCCCCCCCCTCTGTTCACCTCTGTCGCTTCCTCTCCCCTCTTGCAGCTACCCTTTCTATGCAGCCAGTGCTTTCCGGGCATCTTCGGCAGGCCGTGACCCTGCAGGCCTGATGTTGTTCGCCAGATCGCTTGGAGCCTCTGTCCAATCCCACCTCAGCAATAACGTAAAAGCAACCAGACAACACGACCGACACAACGTCACAGATCCGACTAGGCGTACCTGAGAGCTAGTCACGGGGGAAACGCTCTCAGGGCCCACTGGCGATATGATGTACTCGCCAAGGTCGTTTCCTTACCTTCAGCAGTCTCCGCCCTCGCCGCGCAGCACCAGAAATCCCGAGAGGATGGGCTCGCGAACTGCAAGAAACACCCCATCGTCGCGTATCGTGCAGCCCTCGGACCAGCCAGCCCGCAACAGACACCACTCCAGCCCGACTTCACACCCAGCGCTGCAAGAGCCTCCACCTGCGACTATGCTCGCGCAGTCGAGGCCAGTCGTTATTCCACCCCGCACGGCCTCGCGCTCAGCGGCCACGACCCAGACGCTGAGAGCAAGAGGACAGAATGGTGGCAGGCCTACTCGCACTATGAAAAGTCACGATTCCAACGCGATCCCACCCGCAGTCGCCGCCCTGTTGGCAGTTACTGCCATCCCCAAGATGCCACCCCGCCGCACCCGCAAGCACTCGACAATGGACAAGAGGATATCCATGGATGAACTGATCCAGGAGTGGAAGCAGGATGACTCGGACACGCCATCCTCGCTTGTGGGCTCGCCCATGGATCTGCTGCTTGGTCGCGTGGACGAATCCGAGTCTGAATACGGCAGCCTACAAAGCATAGAGCAAGACAAGGAGTCTTCATTCATCACATCCAGGTCCATTTCGAGCGAGTCAATCACTACGATTCCACCGTCGTTGGACTTTGATGACCCATCTTTTTCGTCGCATTGGGACAACCTCAGCACCCCGGACTCGCTTAGCCGCAAGTCACTGACGGAGCGCAGAGAGAGGGTCGTCTCGTCTCCACCAAAAGAAGACTGCATATTGGATCATCCTCTGCTTCACTTTGGACCAGAGGAATGCGAGGAGATTATCGCAACCGACATCACCGAGATTGTGTCATCATTACCCTCGTCAACAGAGCGATTCAAGTCGTTCAAGTCCAACTTGACCGCTTCACTGCAGGCGCTCAAAGAGGCAGCCAAGTCATTCTCAAACTTCACCGCACCCAGCGTCCCTCCTGATGATTTTCTCACGCGATCATTGTTGTCACCAAGGTACACGAGCGAAATGCGACCCAAGCACCTCGAGGGCCTACCATCGCCCGAACTCCGACGTTACCTGAATCCCCAACCCGCACCCATCTCACCCACCGAACTGTCAATGCACCTTCACGACTCTCTCACCCTTGATGCCGACGCCGACCCCCACGCACCAATGATCCAAATGCAAACTTACGAACGCCGCGGTCGGTCCCAGAAGAATCGTCGCTCCCGCACTTCGGACCCTTTCTCCGAGGCCGGACGAGTATTGTCAAACGAACCCACTGTCCGCCAACGCGAGCCTCGCGAAAACAGCGACTTCCTGCGCGTCATCGTGCTCGAGATGAACATGCGCCGCGTGGGCAAGCTCGACTCCAAGGCCGTCGGCAAGGCAAGGATCTGGCTGCCGCCAAGAAAATTAGGCTCGAGTCGAGCACCTTCCGCGAATGGTCGGAGCGGTGTGCCGGACAGATGGATTGGGCTTACGGCAGGATAAACGGCCAGAATACCACCATAAGCAATCTGCCCTGGGCTTGGACGACCGCTCCAAGTTGGGCACGCACGCAGCAAGACCCTCGACCTGTTCACACATGATTACCCACGAGACGAACACAACCGCACTACGCGCGGCCACACACCCGCATGATACTCGACGAATCGGAATTGACGTCAACGGCGGACACACCCATGAGAAGATCGTGGCTTTGCTCATCTCCTCGGGATGGATGCCTTCGGCGTTTTTGGAGCGGCGGTACTAGCCCAGGATTATGTGGACTCACAAGTCTGACAAACTTGCCGTTAACGGAATGGACAACGCGCCGACCGTTATACTGGAAACGTTTAGTTGAACATGCACGGCTACTATGCAGGGTCTGGACAGCAAAATGCAAGAGACGGGACTGGAAATGCCATACAAAAAAATTGATGGAGCCAGCATCCTCGCGTTCCGGCCGCCGGCGAGCCGCACTTCGGCCTATTTGCGGTGGCGAAAAATCTTCACGACGCACGCATATGCATCGCAAAGTGGTCAATCATTTCTCCCGAATCCGACCCACCCAGGACGTACCCGTTCCTGCATAGATATGGGGCAATCCTACAATGTATGAGCTTGGGTCTTTCGGTTTCCAGTAAAATCCCGCACAAAAGTAATGTGCAGGGCGCTCGGAACCGACATGCCGGGCCTCGCCGACGCACATGCCGAATCAAAAAGTGGGGGCACAACATGCGCAGTTGTTTACTACTGGAGCAAAAAAAGAGAGAGTGTGTTATTTTTCATGACGTTTTCAACGTAAAGCCCAGCCAGCCAGCAAAGTAAAAGTGACGATCAAGCGCTGACCGCATTTTTCCCCTTGCACACGCACGCTGGAACATCAACGTTGCATTCCATTTGCATTAGCGCATCATGCGTTCTCTGTTTTATTTTGATTTTTCCTCCATGGCGTTTCCGAAGAGCGAAAGGATCAAGCATATTCATCTTAGGCGGAGTTGATTGGGCATTTGTTGATATGACACAGACACACCACAACATACAGACTGAAGGACCTTGTTTGAAACCAGTCATACTTGCATATACTTTTCTCTCTGTATATTTTTATTCATTCACTTCTCCCTGTCTTTCAGTTTCTCTCGCTTGGAATTGTTGTCTTCTTTCACCGCTTTGGTGACACAGCTGAGAGAGAATGTACATTCTTTTTCATACACTACAAGAAATCCCCAAGTCCAAAGACAAAAAACAAATCAAAATGTTATAAATTATACAACTCCTTCCTTCTCTGCTTGTGTGATTGTGCATATTTGGCGAGACTTCTATGCAAAACGTGATGAAAAACATGCAAATCAAAGCATATTTACTCGTGTCTGAGAGGGACAATGTGAAGATGTCTACACTCATTTCGATTCAATACCCGTCCACCTCGATTGGATGCAAAACTCTGCGGCAATAAAGTTGTACAAATACCCAGCAGACTGACTTTAGATACCTGTCGTGTGAGCCAGAAACTCAAACATTGAAGACACGTGTAAAATCAATCCAACCAGTCACCGCAAACCGCAAAGTGGACTAATCCAGAGCCAAAAAACAGTCGACACACACATAACTGCGACATGAGCGGAATCAAATACTTTGTCGAATGGATTTGCTCTCAAAGTAGAACTCCCGAGGATGGTTCGTGTGTGTGTATACGATAGATTTTTCGAACAACCCAAAAACACCTAAAGGGAAGAGAATCAATCTGTGCAAAAAAGATTGCCAAAAAACAAAACAAAAAAAGTGACCTAACCAGGGGTCGAACCTGGAATCTCTTGATATCGCATTAAATCGTAGTCAAGCGCCTTGCCATTGGGCCATTAGGCCAGTAGATGATACTGTTTTGATGGAAGAATGGGAAAATATAATCTTTATCAACAGCTATGTGTTGAGGGTTAGTAGAAAAAGATAGACAATATGGTGATCAAGACGTATAGCAGTATTTTCTGTCTTCGGAAGGACAAAGTTTTTTTCGTGTAAAGTGGGGGGGCTTGTAGAAAATCGTTGGGTGTGGTGGGGTTATGGGCACGTCATTTTTCTCGAATTTGTCTTCGTACCTGCGGGAAGGGGGGCATCAGCGAGACAAGGCGATTTTATGCCCTGGAAGTACGCGTGCCCATGAAGATTGTACATGTACGTCAGATTTTCAATGTGTATACCTTCATGGCGATATATGAGTTGCGCCAGAAAGTGCTGAAGACTGGGCTTGGAGAGTTTCGGCAAAATAGTAGCAATGATTAGAAGATTGAAACAGTCGATCTACAATTCTTGACTTGGACCGCACATGTTGATCGATTGCCCGCTCATCTCCGTCCTTGTGGTAGCATTCCCAAAAACCTCTCAATCTCCACTGCCGCGCTCCCCCCAGCCTTTGTTCTAACTTCCTCTAGCAATCCCCTGTCTTTCGCCTTAAACGCCTCCTCTCCCGCCTTAACTAATAGCCCACACTTAATCCACATATCCACCCTCTCTGGCACTGTAAGATTCGTACACTTAGGAATAAACACACTCGCCACCCTAGTGTTACCTGCCCCAAGCACCTCGTTGAAGAACGGCTCCCATCCAATTGGACTTTTCTTCTGCTTAGCGAGTTCTTCAAGTTCGTTCCAATGCCGTGCTGCTACGAGAGCGCGGAGACGAATGTAAGTGTACGACTTGTCTGTGATCTTAAAATCTGATTGTACTCTTTGGGCACGCTTGTTATGTCCGAGGCGGATGAGTTGGAAGACTGTCTCGTTTGCGCTGAGGCCGACGAACGATTGGCCAGTTAGGGTGCCACCCGGAGTTGGGTCTCTCGGACCTAGATCCTTCTCAAACTGCTCTTGCAGCCGCAGTAATTTCGCGGCTTCGTCAATAGCTTGACGTTGAAAGACGGCAGCACTGTCGCGTGAATCTTGGAGGTACTTGGATGCCAGCTTAAGCTTGTCTATCGAAGAATGGAGGCCCGATTGCGCTAGGGCTTCAGAGAGTAGGAGGTTCGAGCCATCCAGTCTCCTGTCGTCTTGGTAGAGGAGATCTTTGAGTAGTTCGCGATCTTGATCCCAGGCCGATGATTCGACCAATGCAGTAGCAACGGGTCGACTGTTGATGACGCGGAAAAAGGACGCAAGAGGGAGTTTTTTACGCAAGTGCAAGAGGACATGGAAGACCAGGTCTGTGTCCCCAGACTCTATGGCTTTGTCAAGAGCAATGTTATCTTCTTTCATGTTGAGCAGAAGCGGAACTTGCTTGCCGGCTCTTGGTTCGTAATTCAGTAGTTCGGTCGCAAGTCGAACTCTTCCTTCATCGTAAGCTGCTCGTGCTATTTCCTCAAAGGAAACACCTGGCTTCCCGTGGAGCTTTTTAACGATGAGGGCACATATTTCCTCTTCAGGATCTGTGGAGACACGAACTTTCTGTTGTGCCCAATGACCGTGGATCTTGCTTGCTGGTAGGTGTAGATAATCTGCTATCCTCAATGCAAGGAGGTACTCATTTCTATTGGTGAGGCGTTCAACAAGTCTATCCGGCGTCATACGACGGTACTGGTCGTAGCTTAGAGGCAATCCAATTTCATAGAAACGTACAGCGTTCAGAACCCGCAAGGTATCGCAGGTGTCGACAAAGTCATCGGAGGAGTACAGGTCTAGTACTGACTTGCCGTAGGAGGCAGCCTTCAGCAATGACTTTTGCCAATGGATATTGTACTCATGTGCAGCCGCCTTGATGCACGTATCGACTGCTTCGCCAAGACTTGGTCGTATAAGCTGAATGAGGTCGTCTGCTTTGGGACTCTTCTGCTCCAGCAGCGAAGAAGCTTCAAGAAGATTTGCCGCAGGCGAGTCGGAGCCGAGGCGGAACACCTCAACCGCCTCATCCGGAACCTTTTGAATGAACTCACACACATCATTTGTCAATAAGCGTATGCCATCGACATCCGGCAGGAGATGGACCCATGTATCGTAATAGAATTTCGTGGCCGCACTCTTTGGCCCGATCAGGTGTACCTCATCTTCCCATGCTAGCGCAACGGCATTCGATCCGCACCACTGCATATCCTTCGGCACTGTCTTCACCTTGCTATCATATTCGCTCAGCTTTTCGCTCCAGTCACCGCTGACGACCCATACCTTTCCATCGTCGGTGTAGAAAGCGAGAAATTCGGCGCGCGGGCTGACGCTAATGTGTCTGAAAGGCCCAGCATCGAAGTTCCGGTCTTCTGCTTCAGTTGCATCTACCACATAGAGAGTACTCCCAATTGCAAGTATAACCTCGACCGATCTCGAAAGGGAGTATGCGGGTGGTATGATGCTCCAAGACACGATAGGCTCGCTTGGTGGTATGGCGAGCAGCTTGGGTCGTGGCTCGGTGTACGAGGACACCGAGACGAGGTGATTGTTCCCTAGGAGAGCGACAAATCCTGTGCTATAGAACTTGCAGGATACAACGCCATATTCGTCTGCGCCGTGGCCAAGCGTGAAGGGTATGAAGTCGCCCTGGAGGTCGTAGTAGCAGCGCACCGTGCCGTCCGATGTCACTACGAGCAGCTTCTCATCTTCAGACCACCCCAAGCCCTTGATTGTACCCTTGTCCCACTACCACTACTATTAGCTTTCTTCCTGTATGTACATTGCATCGTCGCGCAGGTGTCGTACGTTTATACTTCGTATTAGCTTGCCGGCGCAGCTATAGATATTGATGCTCGATTTGGACACCCCGGGGCCGCGATACGTATATAGTTTGTCTTCATCACGGTATATCGCTGTTGCAGCAATTAGCTTTGTATGGCCGTTTCATGGGGTGTAAGGAACGTACCTACCTACAGCACCACTGTACGGCGCCCCCACCACATTGTAGTTCTCAAGCTCAAGATCCTGGTCAAAAACGGCAGTATAGAGCTGTACTTTGCGGTAGAACTTGTCGCCGACTTTCTCCCAATTAGCTGTTGGCTTAGACATTGTCGCTATCGAGGGATCATGGCGCGACGTGGAAGTGCCTGTGCCCGGATGCCGAGGAGTTGGTTGATTGAGGTCATCTGAGGTCTGTGCTGAAGCTCACAACATTAGGCACATGAAAAGAGGGAGCTGCACACAGCTGGCGCACATTGCAAGGGACATATTCCTTTGAAGAAATATTATATTTATTTCCAGAGACTATATACCGTTCCACTACCCTAGAGAACTGCTAAAGCCAGGCTGTCAAAAACAGAACGCCGCCGCTTAATGCATTCATAACCATTTCGTTCGAACCGCGCAAATCTTCAATTGCCAATGATCTGGGCGAGAGCCTCTCGTACCCCAAACCGCTCAACATCGCTGCCAACCTTTTTCCGGAACATCCCGAGATCTTTGAGGAAAGTCTCTGCCTCATTCTGTAGTTCCTGCGCCAGCTCATCGTGATCACCTTCATCGTATCCTGAATCAGAGTCATCATCACTCACTTCACCATCAGCTGGAGCTCGCAGGGAGTCTTCTTTACCATCCCCATCTTCTAGCCACTCTTCTTGCTCAAAGTCAGGTGTGCCCACTGATCGTGGTGGCGGGAGCACAATCGGATTCTTCAGCTCTCCCAGCGCCAGTGCAAGATGACGGCGCAGGGAGTCAATTTCTGCGCGTAGGGCAACATTGACTGGCCGAAGCTCTTCGACTTCGGAGCTGAGGGCTTTGATCTTTGCGGCAGACACTTGTCGGTTCTCTTCCATTAGTCGCTGCATCAAAACGACCTGCCTCTGGTACTCCTCCAGCTCAGTCGCTTCTTCCCTCTTCCGCTGGCTCGCTGCGTTGACGCTGACCTGCAGACTGCGAATCTGTTCTGCCATCTCGCTGATCTGGGCATCTCGCTGTGCTGCAGACATGCAATCCTGGTTCACTAGAGCACGCGTGCGGATGCGCTTCGCCTGATCTGCATAGCGGAGGGTTGATAGAGTCTCCTCGTAATCGGCGGGAGCAATGCAAGCCACCATAGCAGTCTTGCTGTTGCCACCAAGAGAGTCTTTCAAAAGCCATGTAAGGACTGAGTCACGGTACGGGACAACTTCTCGTGGTCGACGTCCCTTCGCACCGTGGCGACGTGGATCTGCTAATGCAGCAATAACACGACCAAGTGTAGTGAGAGACTTGTTAATCTGGCCGCCTTCCTTGAGGCGCTGTCCAGTCGCTTCCGTTGACTTCGCGCGCTCGGAGCCTGCCAGGTCAACCAAACGCATGCGTGCCGTTCTTTCAATGGTCTCATCTGAGAGAAGTGAGTGGGTTATCTGCTTGAGACGAATCGTGAAGACGGCATGCGAGCGTGACGAGGTATCATTCATCTTCGTGGAGGCTGTTGTTCGGCTCTAAGTACACATTAGTACACCAACTGAAATAGTAGACAATGATTAACTCACCATATCACCGATTTTCATCAGTCGTTCGACATCTGCATAGCACTTGACCTCAGCTTCGGTCAAGCCCTGCACATACACGCCTTCCTTCTGGCTCTCTCGAATCTTAAGGTAGATTGGAGGAGTCGTTCTTGGTGTAAGTAAGTCCCGCACATGTTCGTTATAGACTTCGAAATAAGAGACCTGGACGTGGTAATTGGTGTTCGGTGAGGGCTCGTGGGCTATTCTATCAAATAGTTCTTCGCATGTTCGTGGGATTAATCCTGGGTTGTCCGGCGTGCCCATCATGGTGTAGCTCTTCCCAGACCCCGTCTGTCCGTATGCAAAGATACATGTGTGATAGCCGTCGAAGTTGTGATCGAGGAAGTCTTCACCAAACGAACGATAAACGTCCTCTTGATGAGCATAGTGTGGATCGGCCTCATCGTGCGACCAGTATGATCGATCGAATGTGAATTCTTTATCTTCG